TTTGGTCACCATTTATGAGAATAAATGAAAAACAGTGATGAAATACTATATGACAGTAAAACAAGAATACAATTCAAAAGGGATTTGTAAAATATCCATAAAGAAAAAGAAAATCTGTTTACAGTTCTGTTTCATATGGGTGCTGAGAGATGTATCCTTAAATTCATTTTGCTCTCAAAATGCACCAGGTTGATGCATTTAACTTAAAAAAAATAGCACTTTACCTCTGCTTACTTATATGCCATTTTATATGCTGTGAGCTGATTATCAAGCCTTCATTGTATACAGAGTCGCGGCGGGTACACTGTGTATGTGCGTGTTCCACTGTAGCGCCTGGTACATTAATTGGAAACCAGTTTGTACATGTTCAATACATTTGTAACACTGTGCACATGAACGTTTCTTTTTTCGGTTCACCAAAAAAAAATGTTCACTCCAAGCTGAACTCAAATTTTGTCAGCCCTGTCCAAACACATTGTGAAATGTTTGTTTTACTCCGACTAAATTAATTCCAAACGCTTCTTCACATTACAATGTTTAATCTCACTATTACAAACAAAGGTAATACAGCTTAACATTATCTGGAATACAGCTGTGTATCACATCAGTTTAATGTTATATTCTTAGATTTTAATAAATGAGGTGGCTGAATAACTGAGCTTTCACACACAGAAGTTCAATTGTAGCCTATCTGTTATCAGTCCGAATACACCCTATTTTCCACCGTGCAAATAATGGCAGATTGCACTACGTCTAAGTTGTGACTTATTAATGTGTTGTAGGCCTACTTCTAATGTGTTTTGCAAGGTTCCTGGAGCCTTAGTTTGATATCTATTGTAGGCTACTTTTGTTTAAAGCATCGTGCATTTAGGCATCATTTTAAACTAATATCAGAAGTAGGCCTGATAAACTACACGGGTTGTATGAGGTAGCAGCATAGATGTCAGTTGAGTTCTGAGATCAGTTAAGCGGATGTATTTCCTGAATCAGCATGCCATGGTGTTGTTTGTTTTACGTTTAAAAAACGTGTGTAAAAGCGAAAGTAATGTGTAACAGTCTACTGTGACATAGCCTACCACGAGCTGCGTTGTCCTCTTTTCTGCAAAATAAATAAATAATTAAATAGGCCTAATTGTGTTTAAAAAAATAAAGCTATAAAAATACAGACATTTTACAGCCTGAAGAGCACGTGTGCTGTTCACAGTATTGAGGCACAGCCCCAATAAGTCCAGTTTTACTTTCTTCCTTTCCTTCTTATCCACCCTCATAAGCCCTGCTCCAGCCCCAGAGCGGTCCCCAGCATCGCCCTGACCTTGCAGAGCCCCAGAGAAGCCCGGATACCCAGCCACGAGCAGGGCCGAGATATGTGGACATCAGCCCAGTAGTGCAGCATCTCCCTGGGTGGGACATGGTGGATGGACACCATGGCCTGATAGCAGCAGCGCCCGTACGGCACCCCTGGGCCCCCGGAGAAGAGTGGGCAGTGTGAGGGCAACACTCCAGCTGTCCGGGCACACAAACCAACAAACACGTCCTCAGGGGGCAGAGGTGTGGAAAGAGGTGACGCAGAGGCCGCCAGGGAAATCTTGAGCAGTGCGGAGCGGGACAGAACATAGGCTGTGCCACTGCAATAGTCCGGAAACACAGAAGGAGGGTAGGCCCCTGAAGGGAGGTAATGCTTGCCATCTGGGTCACGGTCCGGGGCCACGTGGAGATGCACCCTGCCAAGGTATAAGTCTCCTTGTTCGTAGGGGTTACGACTCCTGTTCAGGAAGTGCAGGAGGGCACTGGGATTGAACAGAACGTCATCATCCACTTTGGCCATGAAGTGGGCCTGGGGGCAGAACCTGCGGGCCCACCCCAGCAGGGACAGGGTTTTCAGGGTAAGGTTGGAGTAGGTGTCCAGAAAACGCCCCTGAATCAGGTCTCCTCGCTCCCTGGCCTCCTCGATCAGCAGCTTGGCCAGTCCGGGGTCAGAAGCTACCCCCACCATGAAGAGGGTCATGACGCGCAAGCCCCTCACCTCCACCTCCCCTCCCCAGGTGTCCCGGATGGCCTGGCGGGCCCTCTGGTTGGCAGGAGACGAGGTAACCATGGTGATGAGGTAAGGCTTGGCACGCTGGCACATTAACGGGCTGGGCATGAGCAGAAACTCCTCGGGCCGGGTGGGGGGGACGCTCTGCGGGGGGATGATGGCTGCGTGCGGCTCCACCAACGTGTTCATGTTCATGGAGGTGACCCATGATTCGATGCAGTCCACAAAGAGCAGAGCCAGTAAGGCTAAGCTCGCTATCGCCGCGCACAGATAAGGCAAAACACCAAACCTGCCCCGCTTTCCAAACCGGGGCTTACATATCCACAGCCCCCGTCCGACCATGGCCAACCCCCACTACCGTTACAGGCAGCTCTGAGTCTGTAGACCGCTCTGTCGCAGCTTGTCCTCCTCACCGGTCCTCCTTTTCTTGTCTCCACGATTAAAATCCCTTTTTGGTCATTGGGTGTGCATCTCTCTTGGTCTTTACGTTGCTCAGGTTTAGTGACGCGCAGCAGCGACTGGAGGAGGCTGCAGTGAGAGGAGCTGGTACCCTTGTGTTGATGCTGCAGCCCGGTCGGTCTTTACTAAAGCGGGGTTGCAGCTGCGCACATGAAACGGTCGATTCGGCAGCAGCCCGGAGCTGTTTCTGCCCTGCTTCTTTACAACCAAGTAGCTACAACTACTCTGAGGTCGATCATGACAAAAGGGAAAGTGTGTTAGATGATCATATGCCCTATGGTTAAAATCCTTCTTGTGTTTTTTTTTAGATGCCTCTGCTCTTGACAAATATATTAAGAGTTCCTGTCATCGGTAAACACAGTGCGACTTTACAACAGACGCAGGCTAATGTAACTGTCCTGTGGGCAAACCAGAAAGACGAGATGGTCATGTAAATGCAGGCAAATGGATAGGCCTAATGCAAATATGAATTGATTCTCGACTGCAGCTACGTGAGTGCACAACCTGAAATCTTAGACGCAGTTTAGGTAGACCTATTTTTATCAGGCCATAGGCCTATTTTACAAAAATGTACATGATAGGGAAAGTCCAGCAAACAAAGCCGCAATACCTTTCTTTTGTTTTAAACAAATGCTATTACAAATCACATGGTTGTTTTGGTTCGAGACTCCGTCAGAAAAAAGCACATCAAGATTAAAATAGTTGCATGTGACTTTGTGAGATTTTTGTGACTATAGGTGACATTTATTTTTCTTTATGTGAAGATAAACATATTATGTCGTACAAAGATTTGTGTCTAAAATCAACATTAACTCCTTTTCCTAAAACCAATAAATAAACCTACACATTTATTTTCATTTCAAACTTTAACTAATCACAATGTTTCCTTTCCTCAAAAGTCTATTGTTCTGGAAGGCTTAAAGTTTCCACATTTTTGTAAGAAGATTTACATTTGTTTGGCATTTAGGGAGAGTGGGGTAATTTGTGCCAAGGGGCAAGTAGTGCCACCCCTGTTATCTAGAAAACCATAGAAGAAGTTGGTCATGTGACCACATATTTTTGAAGAGGCATCCATTTCAATCATCCTGCAAAGAAGAGAGACACATGGCTTGAGAGGTAAGCACATTTAAGTTCAAAAAACATTTTTTTGCCCTCCAAAGTAAAATTTCTATGATCAAGGTTTTTTGATTGCTGTGTTTGAACAATTTGGAGAACTTTGAAAACAGTTCACACATGTTTTAGTGCTTTAGACAACACCATGAGTCTATACAGTTAGCATGATGCTAGCTCAAAACAGCTGGGGGATGCATTTTTTTCAAAATGGTGGGCTTGGGGTAATTTGTGCCAAAGGGCCTGGGACCCAAACTTATGATTATTTACTATATATTACTTTATTGTATTTTATTTTTATTGTACATTGTATTCTTACATTTGATCACTAAAACTATGTGACATTCTTAATTTTAGACCAAAATCCATCATGCCACGCAAATACAAAAGGAAGACAGACAGGGTTTCAACTCCTCTTGAGGAGTTGGAAAGAGCAGTGAAAGAGGTGCAACAGGGGAAGACCATACGTCTTCTTCCCGCAAGGGAAGAAGACGTATGGTCTTCCCCTGTTGCACCTCTTTCACTGCTCTTTCCAACTCCTCAAGAGGAGTTGAAACCCTGTCTGTCTTCCTTTTGTATTTGNGAAAGCGCAGGGATGAAGTTGTGTCTTCCTTGACCGCTGCGACAGGACAGGCCCCACCCCTTCATTTGAGGCATCAACCCTCTACCACGAACTGACGAGTTGGTCGGGAACATATGCGATGGGGCTGAGGTGGAACCTCTCCTTGTAGACGCGGAAAGCCTCCTCGGCCGAGAGACCACACAAAAGGCCCTAAGGGACGTGAGAACATGAAGAGGAGGAAGAAATGGCGCCCCCCCCCCCCCCCCCTCCCCCCCCCCCCCCCCCCCCCCCCCCCCCCCCCTGAAACTTCTAATGAAGCGCCTGTAAACAGTTGCAAAGCCCAGAAAACGTTCGCACCCTCCTTGCGTTGTTCTGGCGTAGGCCACTAAGCCACCGCACTGATTTAAGCCGGGTCCATCTGAATCAAACCCAGGGACTATGATAAACCCTAGGAAGGATATCAGGTCTTAGCATAAAATCAACCTTCTCGCCTGTCACATACAGTTTGTTTTCCCAGGATTTTTTGAGGACCTGACATACATGGCTGAACGATGAGAGTCTTTGTCAGGTGAGTATATTAAAATATCGCCAAGATATACAACACAAAAATCGGTAAAAACTCCCTTAAAACACGTAAGAGGCTTGAAAAAACTCCTGGAGCATTGTGAGCCAAATGGCAGATGAGATAGCTCATGAGTGCGCCTTGTGGTTGTGTTAAAAACCGTGTCTCACTCATCCCCCTCACAAATTCTCACCAGGAATGGTAGGCATTACGAAGTCTAAACTTCTACAGTCTAAATGTAGAGCTTGAAGTTGTTTCAAAAGCAGTAGCCGATGAGGGGGAGCGGATAACCCTGTCTCTTAACCGTAATTTCATTTAAAGGAGAATAATCAATGCATGCTAAGGGCCGTCGTTTTTTCCCACCCAAAGCAAAGATCCTGCCCCAGCCGGGAGGAAGACGGCGTATCAGACTTTGCAACGAAGAGGTGTCAATGTACTCCTTCATAGCCTCCTTCTCAGAAGGCGAGATGGAGTATAACCTTCCTTGGATTGAGCCCCAGGTAATAGATTGATCGCACAATTCATAGCGCCTATGAGGAGGAAGGGAGGTGCGCCACTTTACATAATACCTGTCGTCAGGTTCCTTCGTAAGCAGCAGTGAACCGATGGTAAATCTGTAGTTAATCCTTGTCACATCCCAAGGCTGAACATTGCGTATTATCAATCCCGATTCGATGAAACATTCGCCAGAAACTCATGTCTTACCTGATTGTAATGTTCCCACACCTTATGACAATCCTGAGCTCAACATCTGCCTCATCCCTAAGTTTTTCCTGACCGTACAATCAACATAAGGCTTATGCTTGGGTTAGCAGGGTAAAACCGTAGGATGGTGAGGAGGTTGAGCTGATAACAGTGAAAACATGCACGTTCACAATGTGTATCATTGTATGTTAGTGAGGTGGTTCGGTCTATTTGTGTGACATGAAATATGTAAGTTTGCATCCATAACACTAGCTTTCAATGGTGTAGACACAAAAGTCCAGTTTAAGTCTCAGTCATGACGCTAATGCGCGTCCAGTCATGGCTATCGTCAGCGCCAGGTCTATTAACTCCTCTTGGGGTCGTATAATGACTTGTATTCCATGGCAATCTTGTACCTCTATATGTGGGTCATCTTGGCAGGGCGGAGGAGAGTCTACTGTAGGAATGGAACCTCTCTCGTGCAGCGCTGATCGCCACCTCGCCGGCTGTTCCTTGTGTGGGTTAAGGAAGGCTGCTTTAGGCCATGCAGTCGATACAATAGATACGGTCTCAGAAGACATAGCATTAGCAGCTCTAAAGATAAGCATCATACGATTCCCAGCAAACCCTTCTCAGCGAGCCAGGCCGAAGAATGACACGCACCCACTGTGGGAAGTCGGCGCCTCCAGTGTGAGTTCGTTAGAACAGGTATAAGAACTGAAGGGATTGGCACGACCGAGTGTTACCAGTACCATAGGCCATTTAAGATCTCACCAGCATTGCTCCACAGGATTTTTCAAGCACTCATTAACGATGTTTTAAGGGAGTTTTAAACCGTTTTGTGTTTGTATATCTTGACGATATTTAATATACGTCACCTGACAAAGACTCTCTCATGTTCACCATGTACGTCAGGCTCCTCCAAAACTCCTGAGAAACAAACTGTATGTGAAGGCAGAGAAATGTGAGTTTCATGCTAAGACTGTATCCTTCCCTAGGCTTTTCATAGCTCCTGGTCTGATCCAGATGGACCGGCCAAAATCAGTGCGGTGGCTAAGTGGCCTACGCCAGACAACCGCAAGGGGGTGCAACGTTTCTCTAGCCTTTGCTAACTTTTACAGGCGCTTCATCAGAAGTTTCAGCGCCATTGCTTCTCCCCTTCATGTTCTCACGTCCCCTCAGGTGCCTTTTTTATGGTCCTCAGGCAGGAGGCTTTCCGCCGTCTCAAGGGAGAGGTTCACCTCAGCCCCCCATCCTCATCATCCCGACCCAAACTCGTCATTTCGTTGTAGAGGTTTGACGCCTCAAATGAAGGGTGGGGGCTGTCTGCTGTCGCAGCGCGTCCAAGGAAGACAACAAACTTCATCCTTGGCCTTTCTCTCCAAGAAACTCTCCTCTGCAGAGCGGAACTACGACGTGGGGAACCGTGAGTTGTTGGCGGTAAAGATTGCTCTGGAGGAATGGAGACATTGGTTGGAGGGGGCTCAGCTCCCTTTTATAGTGTGGACCGACCACAAGAATCTCGAGTACATTAGGAAGGCTAAAAGACTAAATTCTCGCCAATCAAGATGGTCTCTGTTTTTTAACCGTTTTAACTTCACTGTCGGTCTGGCTCTCTACCAGGGAACTTCCCCTTCATGTGGTGTCACGAAAATTGGCACCTAGGTTCGTAGGCCCATTCCCAGTGGCCAAAGTAATTAACCCTGTCTCTGTTCGCCTTCGTCTCCCCAGGTCTCTGAGGGTTCATCCCACCTTCCATGTGGGACGACTGAAGCCGGTAAAGGAAAGCCCCATGGTTCCCGCGGCCAAACCCCCTCCACCCCCCTGAATGCTCGACGGCGGCCTGGTCTATACGGTCAAGCGCCTGTTGGCGGTCCGGAACAGAGGCAAAGGGAGACAGTTCCTGGTTGACTGGGAGGGTTATGGACCAGAGGAACGCTCCTGGATCCCATCAAGATTTGTTGAGGATCAAACTCTCATGAATGACTTTTTTCGCCAGCACCCTCAGGTTCCTGGGCCATCAGGAGTCGTCCCTAGAGGGGGGAGTACTGTCATGTCTCGCAAATTATGTTAGTTAGTTTTTGTCTTTGTCTAGTGATTTTCCCCTTTATTTTTGAATAGTAACCTTCCCTCTCGTTTCAGATACTCTGACCTCCCTTCCTTGTGTGTCTCCCACTCCTGTGATTTTCGACCCCGCCCCTGATTGTTTCCACCTGTTCCCCATTACCTGGTGTATTTATTGTCCTCGTCTCCCTTTGTCCTGTGCCAGTTCGTTTCGTTCCTTGTGACTACCACCAGCATTAGCAATCCAGGATTAACCCCAAGCAGAGCTTTGAGCCACGTCTTGTTTAAGTATTTTTGTTGTTCATGCTCCTAGTGTTTTTCCTCTTTAAGAGTGATTTTGTTTTTGTACCACTATCGTTGAGCTTTGGTTTGAATAAAACCTTTTTTTTGTTAAATTCTGTGAGTTGTGCATTTGAGTTCATACCCGTTTAATCAGTCGTAACAGCCATATTCCATTATACTTTTTTAATTTGCAGAGGGCCGATTCAAAATGGTCCGTGGGCGCACTTGGCCCCCGGGCCATAGTTCGGACACCCCTGGTATAAATGATGGTGTGTTTTTTTTAAATTATTTAACAAATCATGAATAATAATTCATATCAGATGTGTTATTTGGGCCATTGAGTTGCATCCACCCACCGTAAAGCCGACATGGCTGTCTGTGAGCAGGGGTCCTTCCACCTCAATGATGGGGGTCTCCTGGTCTCGACCAATCAGCTGGATGGTTGTTCCACTGAAACACTGCCGCTTCTCCTCCAGACCCTGTCTAATGCTGACCTCAGAGGGGTTGAAAACTTTGGCCAGGGTGTCGAAGGCACTGTGCACAACAAACAAACAACACATTAACAGATCTGACAGAAGACTCTCAGCAACAGAAATAGAACTTTGTCTCGTCATTTGTTTTATCTTTTTTGCCTCTGTAGACAAGAATACTGAATTTTAGATATCCTAGCTTGACATATGGAGCCAGATAGAGCTGCAATGACGCTCAACCAGGAAGACCTTCTTTACTCATTCATTTACTATTTCCATGTTACTACTCTCTCTCCTCTCAATAAGTGATCGGGGGCGTCACTCCCCAGCTTAACCAATCACTTCGCTCTATTCTCACAAGCCTCTCATAGCGCTCCACTAAACCTTTTAAATCTGCTCTCCCCTCTAACAGCTGTCATTCCAGGTGACTTCACACAACCCTCCTCCACCCCTTCTCACCTCCCGTCCCTCTGAATCCAGGGTCAAGCTAAGCCACTCCGCTTCAGATCGAACCCAACTATCCATTCATCACCACCAGTGTCTAGACCCCGGGGGATTTCATCGGATCGGTTCTCCCCTCCCGAATGATACTCCTGCACAACCTGGGCCTAATGGCCAAAACTCCATTATATTCATTTGTGTATTCCTGGCAATAAATATGTATTCCTACATCAAAACTGTCTCTCCTGATTGAATTGAGTTTATGCAAAAACAATGGCACAAAGTGCTTTCAAGCTTTCCTGTTTTCTCAGTATTGTCATATAATTTAATGACAATAAATTAAACAATTAATAGATTATTCTAGAAAATGATCTGCAGCCATGTTTGAATTGGAATTGCCTGTTTGTTTGATTCGACATTGAAGACACCTCTCAAAACAAACTGACTGACCGTGTTATCTCGCTGGCAGACTCCTCCTCATGTTGGCTGTCTGAAGAATCCCCGTTGTTCAGATTCTCTCTGAGTGAGTCGCTCAGGCTAGCCAATGACGTCACCACATTGGCTAGTGTCCCCAAGTCTCCGTGCGCATGATCCATCTGAAGACAAATGAAAACATTGAAGAAGAAGATTGAACTTTATTGTCATTACGTAGTACAGCTACTCGTAACGAAACAGTTTCTCTGCATTTGACCCATCCTAGTGATAGGAGCAGTGGGCTGCCATTAGGTACGGCACCCGGGGAGCAGTGTGGGGAACGGTGCCTTGCTCAGGGACACCTCGGTAGCAGTTGGTCTTTCCGGGACTGGTGACCTTCCAGTTGCCAAGCTAAGATATGGACTTCGCCACCACCGCCCTAGATTAATAGTAGAATAATGTAGAATCATTTCCATCAAATAGGTCAGCTGAACCAGGATCCACTATAGAAATAGGAGGTCCTACACTGGAGCAAAGCATACAAATGATCTGAAGTGAGTTGATTAAATGTTATTGGGGTAGTATTTAACATATTGTGGCCTAAAAATGTAGTATGCATTTAGATGTATGTGATACCAATCTGAATCTTAATCTGAGCCACTGTAGCTCCTTATTTTTATTTTGTTCTTCCTACTTTCTGTTCATAGTAGAATTGTAAATAAGGCAGCCTTTCTCTCCTTTTGTCAACATTAAGGACACAGTTATTTTGTTTGAATACACTTTATTTGAACTTTCAATGAACAAACGGAACTTGGTTTTCTTGCTTACATTCAGTATGAACATTGAATATTATGTTTTGACAAGCAAAGCAGATTGAAACATGCACTGTGAGGTGACACACATTACAAGATAAATAAAAACAGCTTTACAGGTTTTAATGCTCAAAGTCTTATTTTTTAGACCCTCATTATGCTAAGACAAAATGTAACAGTGTCACAAGGAACAAAATCTTCCAACATCTCCAACTGAGGGATCATACTTCTATTAGCAGGAGGAGGCGGCAGCAGGGCAGACAGGCAGATCTATATATATCAAATGGTATATATTATCATTACAGTAAGTGCTGCAGCAGCTGTACCTTTGAGTCAGAGGCCAGCAGCAGAGTCCCATCACTCTGGATGAGCGGCTGCTGGATGTTCACCAGCATGCCCTGCTCCAACAGGCTGGATCTGCAGGAGACACAGAACGTCGTCAGAATCCAGTTTACATCACAGTACAAGGTGAGTGATAGAATAACAGAGTGTGAGGTTTCTCTAAAGGTCTGATTCCCACTGACCTCGAGCCATCCGTCTCTGTATCGGAGATAAAGGTTGGCGTGGCGATGAGCGGACTGTTTAAGTCCTTGCGAATGTAAATCTTCTGGGTGGAGGCGGCACAGTTTGCATGCTTCTCTCTGGGCACCACGTCGATGGGCTTTCTCTCACTCTGGACAGCTGAGGATGAACCAAAAGAGAAAGTTTAAGTTTTTGTTTTTGCACGCCTATTCAGTCTCTTTAAATCCAATATGATTAAACAAAATATGTAAACTCCGTTCCAGATCAATATTGAGTTACATTATAACTTTACAGTTTGTAAAATAAGATTGTGACTCTGTAGGATTGTTTTTGGTTTTGTGTGATCCAAAAATACTAATAGAATACTAATACATTTAGAACATTGAAAAGTGAAAAAGTCCAAATCTCTGACAAAAAGATGGATGTAATCAAAATGTATATGATTTTATCCAACAAAAATGTTTAATTCACAATTGTTGGCGTTAAGCCTTCCTAAAACAACGTTTTTACTACTCCAGCTTTTGCCCTCGTTAAGCTTAGATTAGTGTAAACGGTGCATTGAACCATGAAGCAATGGCACAAGCCAGCCAGAATGGGCACTACGCTAGTTCAAACAACAAACTGTGGATTCAGTTGTTGCATAATAAGAAGACAGACATTCAGACCTTTCAATGTTTCATTCAAAAACCTCGAAAGAAGCAGTATAGACCCATCCAGACTTTGTGTATAAAATGTAAGACTAGGTTTTAAGGATTCTTTAGTGAAATGTATGTTGTTTTTTAATACTTCTCCAAACCTGCAGACACCCTGATGATACCTGAGTGTTTTTGTTGACATGTTTTTCGACTATAGTGTCTTGGATTTGCCTTCAGACTCACAGTCAGTCTTCATCCCCATGTCAAGGCATTTCTTCAACCGACAGAACTGGCAGCGGTTGCGGTGGTGTTTGTTGATGACGCAGTCCTGTTTACTGCGGCAGCTGTAGGTCAGGCTCTTCCTCACGCTCCGCTTGAAGAAGCCTTTACATCCCTCACAACTGACTGCTCCGTAGTGACGGCCTGATCACAGGAGAAACTGGTCAGAGTATACGAGTCACTGGCCCACCTTTGATTGCAGACAATATGCAGCAAACATACTTTCAGATTTAGCGTCAGGACACATGACCTTGTCCTCACAGGGTAATGCACCTGACTATAAGCCTCAGTACCTGAAGCCTTGTCTCCACACACCAGACAATACTCCACTGGCTGCGGTCGGCTCAGGTCCCCGGACTGCCCTAACAACCGCTCCATCGACACTGGATCTGTGACGATCTGAACAGCAAAGTCAAACACAGGCCATTTATCTTGTGTTTCACCTTAACACAATGTCATAATCATGGCTATCTGAAAAGTATGGCAAATAACTGCAAAACAGTGATTTTGTAATAAGAATGTGACCTCCTGAACTCTATTTTTGAGTGTCTTGTAAACTCATGAGTGTCAATGTGTGTGAATGACAAGAAAATAAAGAAATCAATCAATGAAATCAGTGAAATAAATATAATACACAGTACCTTTCAAAACATATTTACCAAGTTGTTTATAATAAACAACAGAATAAATCCTTAACAGAATAAAAAGAATCTCAAAAACAAAACACATGATAAAAAAATTCAAAGTAAGACGAGATATACATTGTAGCTCTGATCTGGTCCCTACGACTAAAGAGCCCTGAATGCATATCACCATAGTATATGAATGCAGACTGAGGGAGAGGACTGTACCTGTATCCTTCCTGGCATCAGGCTGTCGGCAGCGGTGAAGATGAGCTGCTTCGTGCTGTGGCCGTCTGGAGAGGCCAGGATAACCTTGCCGGCCCCTGAGCTGTCAGCTGTTGTCAGAATGAACTGCTGTTTGGGAGCAGAGGACGGCTTCATCGCTGTCACTATCTGGATCTTCTGACCTGTCTGCTGGTCAGTTACAATCTGAGAGGGTTAAGAGATGTAAGAGGGAGACAGAAAGAGAGGGAGGTGGAAATGAACATGGTCCAATGGGGTTGAAGTAAAAAATAAAAGAGCAGAATGACATTGAAGGTGGGAGAGATGAGTCACATGTTGCAACGTCAACTAGTTTGATGCTGCTAAAGAGTTCAACAGGTAGCAGCAGGATCACATCTGAAGAATTTGAGAGTTACCTGTATTCGCTGTAGCGCTGTGGCAGGTTCAGTGGAGAGGACCTGAAAGCGCTGTGGAGACTCACCCATCACTGAGTCTGAAGGAGAGGATGACACCTACAATTTAAAACACATTTCGACATGCTTCAACACAAATAATCTATAAGTCTGCATCAAATTTGTCTTACTTGAGTCCATTTACAGCATACACATGTGAATCGTAGATCGTTTTGTATGAAAAGAAGTCGGAGTGTCTACAGAAGGTATGTCCCTATGGAAACAACAACAACAAAGGTAACATCCGCCAATCACGCAGACAAAGATAGTAGCACCAGAGTATTTTTAACTTTAGAAAACCTTCAGACTGCCAGCACGTCATGAAAATCTCCCTCTCACCTCGGCTTCGTGCTCAGAGTCCACTTTCTGCTGAGAGAGCAGATTCAGGCCGGTGGTCATGATGGTGAAGGGTCATCAGTGAAGTCTGTTTGGAAATATGAAGAAAATCAACCACTGAAAATCACAATCCAAAAGGAATGATAATAATACTAATAATAAATTGTATTTCTATAGCGCTTTTCTTGAACCCAAAGACGCTTATGTCTATATGTCTATATATATATATCTCTTTATGATGTCTGTCGAGCAATTGAAAGTAAAGGAGACATTTATCAGTGAAAATTACAGCTACTATAAAATAACTTTTCTTTTCAATGGCATGATGGGCGAAAAACACATGTCTCTACATTTTACCAGTAAGTGGAATAATCAGTGATGGATCAAATCATACATTCACACATACAATCATTTATTTATGATAAGAGAAATAAATGTATACAAAATAGTTATAACATCTATTCATGGTTACATGTCAGCATTAACATTAGGTAGTCGGTGTTACAAAACATCTCACATACTTTGATATTTGTTCTGTGCAGACACCTCAGGTAAATATTTTTGTCAGAAAAGTCCAGCGTTTGCATGACTGCAGTGATGTGCAAGATGAGTCAATGACCTCTGAGTGCGACCTAGACATGAGATTTGAGAGACCGTTGATAACCAGATTACACTACAGTCTGCTGGGAACCCACATGACCCAATATGGCACTGTAACAAAGGGGAGAGCTGATGTTCCTACATACAAATATACCATCTTTAATATGGACATACAGTACGTAGATCACCCCTGCTTTTCTTTCTGTGTTTGGTTGCATTGTTATTGTTAGGTAGAAAACCTGCCGTGTCCTTTTAGATGCGACTTAATTTCTGATCAGTCACAGAAAGATAAACTGACAGAAAAAAGGTTTTACTCCAAAATAATCATTATGCAATAGTTATCAGGAGAATCTGAAATCAATGTGTTTGAACTTTTGTCAAATGTATTGCTTTTTATGAGATAGTTCGGTAAAAAGCAAAATAATAACTTGATATTTGACCGTCTCATCTTTCTATTTGTTTAAAAAATAATGTCATATTATAAAATAGAAATGAAACATATCTTTGTTTTCCTGCGCTGCTTGATCTTGTGATTTTTGTATCTCTTATTATTTATCTTTTTTTTATTATTCAATATCGCCTTATTATCTTGTTATTTTAAAATATATATTTTGTGTACTTAACCCCCTTGGAAACGAGAGTATATCTCAAGGGGTTTTTCCTTATAAATACTTACCAAAACCAAACGGATTATTTTATTTTTCATTTTTATTCTTACTATATATTCTTGCAGCTAATGTTAATTTTATTGTGTATTATATGTGTATCCTATTGTATCTTTTAAACATGTTTAACTCGTGTCATGCTTGAAACTGCTGCTGAAACCAAATAATTTCCCAATTTTGGGATAAATAAATGCCACAAAAAAAATCATCTATCTATCTAATTGCCTGCAGTACATTGATGTATAAAGGGCCTGCAGTGGCTCCATGATATGTTCACTGACCAAAGGGAGGATGCCAGCTGCTCTATACTGTTCACTGATTGGTCTAACAGAGAGCCCATCAATTCCTCCGTCCTCAAACGCATCACAACAGAACAAAATGGACAAACTGGCAGTCAGCCAATAACACATCCTTGTGATAAATATATTACAATACTTATATTTCCAGACAATAGAGCAGCCGGCTGATTTTGTGCTGGTAGTACATGTATAAAAATACAGCTTTGTTAAATAAAGTATTAGTCTTTATAAAGCACGTATGTCCCTGAGATGGCAAAGGTAAAAGGGTCGAGTTCATCTGCAGCAGCTCTCCTATGTTAGCAGTCACTAGCAAACCCAACACTAGCAGCGGTCTGCAGCCCTCTCCCCTGGATATGTCATTGTATCATGCATGGATCGGTCCAGGATAAGTCGACGGTAGTGTCACATATAATTAGTGAAATTATAAGCATGTCAGCGGAGCCAGACTCCGCCCTGCGCTCCCTGCCCGGTCCCGAGCTGCCAGAGTCGGGCAGGAAGGGAGCTCCGCAGCGGCTAGCTAACATGCTAGCTGAGATTAGCTGCGCTCTTTTATCTTCCGGTATCTCAGTCGAGCTTTCTACGGTTTTCAATCCGTCACTGAGACTTACCTCTGGGGAACGCTGCTCACAGATTTCGGTCTCTTTGATATTTTATAAAATATTTGTTTTTGGTTTTCTTCTGTTAAAGGTCATAGTTCGTGACCCCGCACAGCCAGCGTTGATGATGGTTGAGGTTGTTTTTTTTTTCCTCCTTCCTCTGTCGCGTCCCCGTGCGCCTCCAACACCCCCCACCCACCCTTGGCGCGAGCCAGACAGGACTGACGTCATCGTGTCTGAATGACTTTTCTTGTATGTTATACAATTAACATAATAAAATAAAGTGTAAGCTACTATCAGACGAATAAGAGACAGACTCAAGTATTTTTTTTGTCTGTTAAGTATTCCTTGCTCCAATGATATATTCCCAAACCATGTCCTATTTTGAAAAGTAATTGATTTATTTTGTGAAAACCCCTTGAAATTAAATAATGAATTTGTTGTTCAAATGTGATTTTATGGGTGATTTTTAAATACATATGTTTATATATGTATAGATAGACATAGGCCTATATATAGCTATCTTTAATAACACAAACTGTTTTCAAACAGATGGTTTTTGTTACAGGGCTGTAATTAAAAAGTTAAAATGTAAGCAATGAAGGCTTAGCCTTACAATACAAAAAGTGTGACAAATAGTCAATGCTTTTATTCAGCCATGTAGGGAGAGTGGGGTAAGTAGTGCCAATTTTTACTTAAAGTGCCTTTAAAGCAAGGGGATTACAGTGATGCCTCCAACTAAAATATGTACATATAGTTTAGGATGTTGTGCATCCCTGGGAACAATCACTTCGGATCTTAAATAAACTGTTTGAGAAATATAGCTTTAGAAAAAAAAGTGGTTTTGTGGCACAACTTGCCCCCGGTGCGGGGTAAGTTGTGCCATTAGAGACAATACACTGGGGTAAATTGTGCCATTGATAATTGAAGTAAAACAGATCATTTTAATCTCACAAACAATAATGCTATATAAAAGCAAGACAAATTCAATACAAAATTATTTATTTAATGTTTATTGTGATCGTCGCCCAGACGTCGGGAGAGGGGGAGTACCGTTGAACAGGTAACATACGGTACGTACTAGCCAGGTCCTATTCAAGCGCCATCACGTGTATATTAATGGCACTTTTAATATTCGTACAGCGTCTCGGTCTGAGGCGGGACGCGAGGGACGGGCCAGGGCTCGACGGGTTCTCAGCCCGTCCTCCCTCGAGGCGTCGCGATCGATTGTACCGATTCCAGACTCTCAATCGACGGCGAGAAATAGAAGGCCATAGAGTCAGCTCGAAAGTGCCAAAAGTAGCAGTTGACTCTGAATGGAGACCCCTAGCCGACGAGTGTCTAGCAGGAGAAACTATAAGAGATATTTATAAACAAAAACCAAAAGAAGACAATTTCCCAGTATCAAGCCTGGGCGTGTCGGGTCGCCCAACTAACTACCAACTCGCAACAAAAAAAAAAAGGAGGAAGGAGACGGCGCAGGGCACGCGGAGGTTGTGGGGGGGTGGGTGGCGCGGAACGCGCCGGTCTGGTCCTGACTGCAGTAGCACAGACTTACGTGAAAGAACATACAAAATATGTTAATTGTATTATTCTTATTTCACCATTCGATGATAGTCTGCTTATTCTCTGTCCTGAGTTCATAAAAAAACAGACAATTCATAAAGAAACGAGGTTACTATATAAGGGTTTGGTACAGGATAAAACTTTTCATTAGCTAAATAAAACACTTTTGGGGAACTTTAGATTTATTACTTAAACAACAAGTTTACACTAAAATACCACTAAAAAATTTATGTATACAAAAGTATACATATCTTATCCTGTATCCGATTATAATCGATAGAAATTATTGTGTTTGACAAAGTTTGTCTACCCAAAAACAATGTCCGACATTAATTTTCAATTTTGACATCTCGTTACTTCCGTATGTTTTTCACACTGTTTTATCAGGTACGAAATAAGTCGGTACATCCCCTCTCACCCCCATTCATCACGGTTAAAAATGAATTGTCACGGAAAATTTCGTTCCCCTAATGTCATTACGGAGGTTGATTTTATACATTATATCCAAATCCTACAACACGGAGGGACCCTTGTTAGTGAAGCCTAGAATTTATTTGGACAAACTCTTTATATCGAATCCTTTTTTTACCAAACACCGTGTTTGACGGGGCGACGCCCCATTAAACACGGTAAATCTACTGTTAATGTGACCCCATTTAACACCGTAACTATTATTCATTTTGTCTAGTAAAAATTTAGAGTGGTTGTTATTACGATAATACTTTCGTTCTGTTTAAGTATGTTTTAAATAAATAAACTCTACAATACAACATCTTTCACCATGCCTGTAGTTTCCGGTGAAAAGATATTGTTCCCGATACTTGTGGGATTTGTAGGATGAACAGGTTTACGACGTCCTTTATAACTTGAAGACAAGGGGAAGACCGACGTGGTGTTTTGAACACCACATCGGTCTCCCTTGTCTTCAAAGTATAAAAGGACGCGTCGTACCCTGTTCATCCTACAATCGACAAGTATCGGGAACAATATCTTTTGCACCGGCAAACTACAACAATGCT